GATCTACAGCCTCAGTCCTGGGTCTACAGCCTCAGTCCTGGGTCTACAGCCTCAGTCCTGGGTCTACAGACTCAGTCCTGGGTCTACAGCCTCAGTCCTGGGTCTACAGCCTCAGTCCTGGGTCTACAGCCTCAGTCCTGGGTCTACAGCCTCAGTCCTGGGTCTACAGCCTCAGTCCTGGGTCTACAGCCTCATTCCTGGGTCTACAGCCTCAGTCCTGGGTCTACAGCCTCATTCCTGGGTCTACAGTCTCAGTCCTGGGTCTACAGCCTCATTCCTGGGTCTACAGTCTCAGTCCTGGGTCTACAGCCTCAGTCCTGGGTCTACAGCCTCAGTCCTGGGTCAACAGCCTCAGTCCTGGGTCTACAGCCTCAGTCCTGGGTCTACAGACTCAGTCCTGGATCTACAGCCTCAGTCCTGGGTCTACAGCCTCAGTCCTGGGTCTACAGCCTCAGTCCTGGGTCTACAGCCTCAGTCCTGGGTCTACAGCCCCAGTCCTGGGTCTACAGCCTCAGTCCTGGGTCTACAGCCTCAGTCCTGGGTCTACAGCCTCAGTCCTGGGTCTACAGCCGCAGTCCTGGGTCTACAGCTTCAGTCTTGGGTCTACAGCCCAGCCTCAGTCCTGGGTCTACAGCCTCAGTCCTGGATCTACAGCCTCAGTCCTGGGTCTACAGCCTCAGTCCTGGGTCTACAGCCTCAGTCCTGGGTCTACAGCCTCAGTCCTGGGTCTACAGCCTCAGTCCTGGATCTACAGCCTCAGTCCTGGGTCTACAGCCTCAGTCCTGGGTCTACAGCCTCAGTCCTGGGTCTACAGCCTCAGGCCTGGGTCTACAGCCTCAGTCCTGGGTCTACAGCCTCAGTCCTGGGTCTACAGCCTCAGTCCTGGGTCTACAGCCTCAGTCCTGGGTCTACAGCCTCAGTCCTGGGTCTACAGCCCAGCCTCAGTCCTGGGTCTACAGCCTCAGTCCTGGGTCTACAGCCTCAGTCCTGGGTCTACAGCCTCAGTCCGTGGTCTAGAGCCTCAGTCCTGGATCTACAGCCTCAGTCCTGGGTCTACAGCCTCAGTCCTGGGTCTACAGCCTCAGTCCTGGGTCTACAGCCTCAGTCCTGGGTCTACAGCCTCAGTCCTGGGTCTAGAGCCTCAGTCCTGGATCTACAGCCTCAGTCCTGGGTCCACAGCCTCAGTCCTGGGTCTAGAGCCTCAGTCCTGGATCTACAGCCTCAGTCCTGGATCTACAGCCTCAGTCCTGGGTCTACAGCCTCAGTCCTGGGTCTTTGGCCCCTGATCAAAAACAAGTTTGACACCCCTGCTCTACTTTCTACTACATTTATGGGCATTGGTCTCTCTCTATGGACCAATACCATGTGGTCTCTCTCTCTATGGACCAATACCATGTGGTCTCTCTCTATGGTCCAATACCATGTGGTCTCTCTCTATGGACCAATACCATGTGGTCTCTCTCTATGGTCCAATACCATGTGGTCTCTCTATGGTCCAATACCATGTGGTCTCTCTCTATGGTCCAATACCATGTAGTCTTTCTCTCTATGGACCAATACCATGTGGTCTCTCTCTATGGACCAATACCATGTGTTTTTTTTTTGTTTCTTGTGTTTAAGCCATAGACAGTATATATAAACAGACGTAGTCCCGCCTATCTCCGCTGTTCTAACTAATGAGCCAAATATTGGGCTCTCATGGAGTGATTCAAAATGGCCGCGGGGGGTGGAAAATGTGAAAAAACACATCTGTGCATGCGTCAGCCGGCGCAGCTCCATTCATTTAAACGAGAGACTTCTAAAGTCCACAGCGACTAAACTAGACTGGTCCAGAACACTCAGCATTGACACACATGTGGAACGGAGCTTTGGGCCAAGAGCCAACTTTTGGACCATCCTGTAAAGACGTTTTCCAGAGGTCTGCCAATGCTATATGTTAGCATTGGCTAATTCTTATTCCGGGTCCACCCCCACAGGCCCGGGGTGGTACTGCAGCATGTCAGCGCACGTCATTTTGGACACTTTGAGCCGGGACCCGCCCACACTGGGCTGAACAGTTTGATTCTCTGACCTGTGTTGGTGGTTTCAACAGTTTTATTCAGAGATAAAAACTGTTGCGATTTAGGGCGATACAAGAATGCATAGAACTGAATCCTCTGCTGTCCGCTGGTTTTGGTTTAGTCCGTTGCTGATGAGGGTCTGAGACTTTTACGGACATCGGTCTCTGCTCTTTGGACCAGTGTCTCCTCTGTGTTTGTGATCATTGTATTTCCTGTTCCAACAGTTTGATCTGTTGTGAATTGACTAAGACTTGGTTAGTCACATAACATTACTTTTATTTTACTTTGGCATTTCACAAATTATTGTGTGAGATTGGGCTGGTATCCCCCCAACCCAGAAATGGATTAAGGGGAAGAAGAAGATGGATGGATGAACTATGTGAGATAATAATAATAATCTTTGACAGTAGCATGGCTGAAAACTCTGTCAGAACAGTGTCGTAGCATCAAGTCTGGATCAGAAACCTTCTGTTCTGACCACATTAACGTGTAAAAACATCAGGTCTGGATCAGAAACCTTCTGTTCTGACCACATTAACCTGTAAAAACATCAGGTCTGGATCAGAAACCTTCTGTTCTGACCACATTAACGTGTAAAAACATCAGGTCTGGATCAGAAACCTTCTGTTCTGACCACATTAACATGTAAAAACATCAGGTCTGGATCAGAAACCTTCTGTTCTGACCACATTAACGTGTAAAAACATCAGGTCTGGATCAGAAACCTTCTGTTCTGACCACATTAACCTGTAAAAACATCAGGTCTGGATCAGAAACCTTCTGTTCTGACCACATTAACGTGTAAAAACATCAGGTCTGGATCAGAAACCTTCTGTTCTGACCACATTAACCTGTAAAAACATCAGGTCTGGATCAGAAACCTTCTGTTCTGACCACATTAACATGTAAAAACATCAGGTCTGGATCAGAAACCTTCTGTTCTGACCACATTAACGTGTAAAAACATCAGGTCTGGATCAGAAACCTTCTGTTCTGACCACATTAACCTGTAAAAACATCAGGTCTGGATCAGAAACCTTCTGCTCTGACCACATTAACATGTAAAAACATCAGGTCTGGATCAGAAACCTTCTGTTCTGACCACATTAACATGTAAAAACATCAGGTCTGGATCAGAAACCTTCTGTTCTGACCACATTAACGTGTAAAAACATCAGGTCTGGATCAGAAAGCTTCTGTTCTGACCACATTAACGTGTAAAAACATCAGGTCTGGATCAGAAACCTTCTGTTCTGACCACATTAACCTGTAAAAACATCAGGTCTGGATCAGAAACCTTCTGTTCTGACCACATTAACGTGTAAAAACATCAGGTCTGGATCAGAAACCTTCTGTTCTGACCACATTAACGTGTAAAAAACATCAGGTCTGGATCAGAAACCTTCTGTTCTGACCACATTCCTGTAAAAACATCAGGTCTGGATCAGAAACCTTCTGTTCTGACCACATTAACGTGTAAAAACATCAGGTCTGGATCAGAAACCTTCTGTTCTGACCACATTAACTGTAAAAACATCAGGTCTGGATCAGAAACCTTCTGTTCTGACCACATTAACATGTAAAAACATCAGGTCTGGATCAGAAACCTTCTGTTCTGACCACATTAACGTGTAAAAACATCAGGTCTGGATCAGAAACCTTCTGTTCTGACCACATTAACGTGTAAAAACATCAGGTCTGGATCAGAAACCTTCTGTTCTGACCACATTAACCTGTAAAAACATCAGGTCTGGATCAGAAACCTTCTGCTCTGACCACATTAACATGTAAAAACATCAGGTCTGGATCAGAAACCTTCTGTTCTGACCACATTAACATGTAAAAACATCAGGTCTGGATCAGAAACCTTCTGTTCTGACCACATTAACGTGTAAAAACATCAGGTCTGGATCAGAAAGCTTCTGTTCTGACCACATTAACGTGTAAAAACATCAGGTCTGGATCAGAAACCTTCTGTTCTGACCACATTAACGTGTAAAAACATCAGGTCTGGATCAGAAACCTTCTGTTCTGACCACATTAACCTGTAAAAACATCAGGTCTGGATCAGAAACCTTCTGTTCTGACCACATTAACGTGTAAAAACATCAGGTCTGGATCAGAAACCTTCTGTTCTGACCACATTAACCTGTAAAAACATCAGGTCTGGATCAGAAACCTTCTGTTCTGACCACATTAACCTGTAAAAACATCAGGTCTGGATCAGAAACCTTCTGTTCTGACCACATTAACCTGTAAAAACATCAGGTCTGGATCAGAAACCTTCTGTTCTGACCACATTAACATGTAAAAACATCAGGTCTGGATCAGAAACCTTCTGTTCTGACCACATTAACGTGTAAAAACATCAGGTCTGGATCAGAAACCTTCTGTTCTGACCACATTAACCTGTAAAAACATCAGGTCTGGATCAGAAACCTTCTGCTCTGACCACATTAACATGTAAAAACATCAGGTCTGGATCAGAAACCTTCTGTTCTGACCACATTAACATGTAAAAACATCAGGTCTGGATCAGAAACCTTCTGTTCTGACCACATTAACGTGTAAAAACATCAGGTCTGGATCAGAAAGCTTCTGTTCTGACCACATTAACGTGTAAAAACATCAGGTCTGGATCAGAAACCTTCTGTTCTGACCACATTAACCTGTAAAAACATCAGGTCTGGATCAGAAACCTTCTGTTCTGACCACATTAACGTGTAAAAACATCAGGTCTGGATCAGAAACCTTCTGTTCTGACCACATTAACGTGTAAAAACATCAGGTCTGGATCAGAAACCTTCTGTTCTGACCACATTAACCTGTAAAAACATCAGGTCTGGATCAGAAACCTTCTGTTCTGACCACATTAACCTGTAAAAACATCAGGTCTGGATCAGAAACCTTCTGTTCTGACCACATTAACCTGTAAAAACATCAGGTCTGGATCAGAAACCTTCTGTTCTGACCACGCTGATTGGAACCCGCTGCTTCCATCTTGTTAAAACATTGCTGTTTCTCGCCCACGTACGAACCATAGGCGTTCCTTCTGTTTACCTGCTTCTCCGACTTCACTTTGCGATTGTAATGAGCGTTTGCGGCGCTGCACCTGGAGACCGCGGTGGCCCACTCAAAGATCACATGTGGCGCCGTCAAGCTGCGCCGGAGAGTGGCCATAACTAATGCGTACGACGGGAGCAGAACGGCAGTGATTGTCGAGGAGTTGATTTCTATCGAGCCGCGGTTTGTCCAGGGCTGGTTTAGCGTGTGATAAAGGAGCACTTCTGCAAAAGGCCTGTAGGGGGCGCTATGCATGATGCGTGTCGAGCATGTTTCAAGTCAAAGGTTATTTAATGATCTGGAAAGATCTGCGAGACTCATGCGACTGTGACTGCGGGGGTTTCCAATGTCCATGGGTTAAAGAGGACATCAGGAAAATCAACTTTTCTCTGATTTTGAACCTTGTTTTCCCCGATAATGAACTCAGCGTGGGAGAGAACATGAGGTCTAACCACTCATTTAGGCTCTGACTTCTTTTCATTCTTTGATGAAAATACACACATCACACAGTAAGGTTTTTCTTCTAAATTCTTCAAGCTTTTCCGTATTTCCATGATCAGAAAAGAGCAGATAGAAGAATCTTATTTTTCTTCCCCCCCTTTAACAAAACAGATTGAAATGGTTTGCAGCTGATCCCTCCTTCACCAGACAAATATACAAGATAGAAACAGTATATACTGTATAAATACAATATATATATATATATATATATATACAACCAACTGTATATATACACTAGAAACTTGCAATGGCTGAAGCCATTGCGATTGACTGCGGAACAGATCTAATGTGGAAATCTGCTAAAAAAAATCCTTGAAATCCTTTAAAAAGCCTTGAAACTGTTAAAATACTTGATAGATATTTGAAACTCCTGAAGTCCTTGAAATTGTTGAAACCTTTAAACTCCTGAAATCCTTGAAACTGTTGAAACATTGAAACTCCTGAAATCCTTGAAACTTTTTTAAACCTGGAAACTGTTGAAAGTGTGGAAACTCCTGAAATCCTTGAACCTCCTGATATCCTTGAAACTGGTTAAATTCTTAAACAGCTGAAATCCTTGAAACTACTGAATGTATTGAAAGTGTCCTTGAAACTGAAAAATCCCCTCACCGCTGAAACAATTTGGTTCCTGTAACTAAGGAAACCTGGTCTGTGGTCATTATCTGGTGGTGGTCTGAGTCTTCGTTTGGGTCTTGGTCTGGTGGTATAATGCAACCTATTAGGTTGCATTATACATGAAAAAACCCTATTAAGTTGCATTATACTGGTTTACATGAAAAAAACCCTATTAAGTTGCATTATACTGGTTAACATGAAAAAAAACCCTATTAAGTTGCATTATACTGGTTTACATGGAAAAATCCCTATTAAGTTGCATAATACTGGTTTACATGGAAAAATCCCCATTAAGTTGCATTATACTGGTTTACATGAAAAAAAACCCTATTAAGTTGCATTATACTGGTTTACATGGAAAAACCCCTATTAAGTTGCATTATACTGGTTTACATGTAAAAACCCCTATTAAGTTGCATTATACTGGTTTACATGGAAAAATCCCTATTAAGTTGCATTATACTGGTTTACATGGAAAAATCCCTATTAGGTTGCATTATACTGGTTTACATGTACAAATCCCTATTAAGTTGCTTTATACTGGTTTACATGTAAAAACCCCTATTAAGTTGCATTATACTGGTTTACATGTAAAAACCCCTATTAAGTTCCATTATACTGGTTTACATGTAAAAACCCCTATTAAGTTCCATTATACTGGTTTACATGTAAAAACCCTATTAAGTTGCATTATACTGGTTTACATGAAAAAAAACCCTATTAAGTTGCATTATACTGGTTTACATGGAAAAATCCCTATTAAGTTGCATAATACTGGTTTACATGGAAAAATCCCCATTAAGTTGCATTATACTGGTTTACATGGAAAAATCCCTATTAAGTTGCATTATACTGGTTTACATGGAAAAATCCCTATTAAGTTGCATAATACTGGTTTACATGGAAAAATCCCCATTAAGTTGCATTATACTGGTTTACATGGAAAAATCCCCATTAAGTTGCATTATACTGGTTTACATGGAAAAATCCCTATTAAGTTGCATTGTACTGGTTTACATGGAAAAAACCCTATTAAGTTGCATTATACTGGTTTACATGGAAAAAACCCTATTAAGTTGCATTATACTGGTTTACATGTAAAAACCCCTATTAAGTTGCATTATACTGGTTTACATGGAAAAATCCCCATTAAGTTGCATTATACTGGTTTACATGAAAAAAAACCCTATTAAGTTGCATTATACTGGTTTACATGAAAAAACCCTATTAAGTTGCATTATACTGGTTTACATGGAAAAATCCCTATTAAGTTGCATTATACTGGTTTACATGGAAAAATCCCTATTAGGTTGCATGATTACACTGAAGTCCTTGAAACTGCTGAAGTCCTTGAAACTGCTGAAGTCCTTGAAACTGCTGAAGTCCTTGAAACTGTTGAAGTCCTTGAAACTCTTGAAATCTTGAAACTGCTGAAATCCTTGAAACTGTTGAATCCTTGAAACTGTTGAATCATTGAAACTGTAGAAATGTCTGAAAGAGCTGAAGTCCTATTAAAATGCATGGGCCTATTAAAATGCATTGCAGAATTCTCAATGCAGATTTTTGTCCGATTGCGGAAAAACCGGAAATCGCTGAAGTCCCAAAAGTAATAGCAATAATCTCCCAAACATGTGGAACGTTTTGATGTATAACTTGTGGAAATTGTTGAAAATGTGAAAGCTGTGAAACGTGTCAAAAAAAATGACGGAATAAAGAAATACAAAACCAATGGTTGACTGCGGAAGGTTCCGCAGTCAATCAATTAATCATAAACACACAGACACTTCAAGAGTCACTTTTATACTTTGTTTCCTGTTATATTTCTGATTTAATTCCAAAATGTTTGTAATGTTTTAAGTCTTTCTCTTGAAAAGTCCACAGTTTTACTCAAACCACAAACAAACTGTTTTAAAGCTCCTGGTACGTGCTCCTGGTACGTGCTCCTGGTATGTGCTCCTGGTATGTGCTCCTGGTACGTGCTCCTGGTACGTGCTCCTGGTACGTGCTCCTGGTACGTGCTCCTGGTATGTGTGGCCGTATTTAAAACCATGTGTAGAATAACATTTAAGTTTGAAAGGAAAGCTTCTGCTGTGAATGAATCAGACCCAACATCTGTCTGGATTGTGTTGTAAGTCTGAGCAGAGCCCTGGGAGTCACTGTTTGACTATATGGGCTGCAAGCTGATTGGCCGAGAGGCTGGTCCTCGGTTCTGTCTGAAGTCTGAAGAGCTGAGAACACATGTGAAAACAGGGGATAGAACCAAACTACATGTGGTTTAAAGTCAGGTACAGCAGCTTTAATGCCTAAAATAAAACACATAAAACAGAGGGACAAAGAGAACATGCATCACCGGCTCCTCGCTCCAGAACCATGAAGCCTCCGCCAGATAAAAGTAGGTCACTGTCCACGAGGAACTCTGCAGACCGGGAGAGAGGTTTATTCTGAGGGAGGCAGGTTTATCTGTATAGCACAGTTTATACACACGGAAACTCACAGAACCAGATCATCACAGTTTATTAAAACAAAAACAAACTTGAAACTTCATTATCTGCTGGTTTTGGTTTCTCCGTGTGCTCCGCTCTGGCCACACGCGGCACCAGGTTGCAGCAGAGTCGCCACAGTGCGTGTACGAGAAAAAACGTATACACAAATATTTCCAAAATCTGTTCAATACAGATTTCACATGAACCATTATCGCGAAGATGACATTTTTAAAAAATGCGTCTCTGATCGACAACATGGACTCGTGTCAGTCACGTGTGATAATCCATACAGCAGCAGACACAGTAGGTCTCCTTTAATCAAGCAATGTCTTCATACTGCAGCTGTCTCTGAAGCCAGGTCCTGGCGTGACTCAGCCCGGCGTGGCTCGTCTCAGTCTGGTGTGGCTCGTCTCAGTCTGGTGTGGCTCGTCTCAGTCTGACGTGGCTCGTCTGCGTGGCTCGTCTCAGCCCGGCGAAGCTCGTCTCAGTCTGGTGTGGCTCGTCTCAGTCTGGTGTGGCTCGTCTCAGCCCGGCGAAGTTTGTCTCAGTCTGGTGTGGCTCGTCTCAGCCCGGCGAAGCTCGTCTCAGTCTGGTGTGGCTCGTCTCAGTCTGGTGTGGCTCGTCTCAGTCTGGTGTGGCTCGTCTCAGTCTGGTGTGGCTCGTCTCAGTCTGGTGTGGCTCGTCTCAGCCCGGCGAGGCTCGTCTCAGTCTGGTGTGGCTCGTCTCAGTCCGGCGTGGCTCGTCTCAGTCTGGTGTGGCTCGTCTCAGTCTGGTGTGGCTCGTCTCAGTCTGGTGTGGCTCGTCTCAGCCCGGCGAAGCTCGTCTCAGTCTGGTGTGGCTCGTCTCAGTCCGGCGTGGCTCGTCTCAGCCCGGCGAAGCTCGTCTCAGTCTGGCGTGGCTCGTCTCAGTCTGGCGTGGCTCGTCTCAGTCCGGCGTGGCTTGTCTCAGTCTGGCGCTGCTTGTCTCAGTCTGGCGTGGCTTGTCTCAGTCTGGCGTGGCTCGTCTCAGTCTGGCGTGGCTCATCTCAGTCTGGCGTGGCTCGTCTCAGTCTGGCGTGGCTTGTGTCAGCCCGGCGTGGCTTGTCTCAGTCCGGCGCTGCTTGTCTCAGTCCGGCGTGGCTTGTCTCAGTCTGGCGTGGCTCGTCTCAGTCTGGCGTGGCTCATCTCAGTCTGGCGTGGCTCGTCTCAGTCTGGCGTGACTCGTCTCAGTCCGGCGTGGCTTGTCTCAGTCTGGCGTGGCTCGTCTCAGTCTGGCGTGGCTCGTCTCAGTCTGGCGTGGCTCGTCTCAGTCCGGCGTGGCTTGTCTCAGTCTGGCGTGGCTCGTCTCAGTCTGGCGTGGCTCGTCTCAGTCCGGCGTGGCTTGTCTCAGTCTGGCGTGGCTCGTCTCAGTCTGGCGTGGCTCGTCTCAGTCCGGCGTGGCTTGTCTCAGTCCGGCGTGGCTTGTCTCAGTCTGGCGTGGCTCGTCTCAGTCTGGCGTGGCTCGTCTCAGTCCGGCGTGGCTTGTCTCAGTCTGGTGTGGCTCGTCTCAGCCCGGCGTGGCTCGTCTCAGTCTGGTGTGGCTCGTCTCAGTCCGGCGTGGCTTGTCTCAGTCTGGTGTGGCTCGTCTCAGCCCGGCGTGGCTCGTCTCAGTCTGGTGTGGCTCGTCTCAGTCCGGCGTGGCTCGTCTCAGCCCGGCGAAGCTCGTCTCAGTCTGGCGTAGCTCGTCTCAGTCTGGCGTGGCTCGTCTCAGTCCGGCGTGGCTTGTCTCAGTCTGGCGCTGCTTGTCTCAGTCTGGCGTGGCTTGTCTCAGTCTGGCGTGGCTCGTCTCAGTCTGGCGTGGCTCATCTCAGTCTGGCGTGGCTCGTCTCAGTCTGGCGTGGCTTGTGTCAGCCCGGCGTGGCTTTGTCTCAGTCCGGCGCTGCTTGTCTCAGTCCGGCGTGGCTTGTCTCAGTCTGGCGTGGCTCGTCTCAGTCTGGCGTGGCTCATCTCAGTCTGGCGTGGCTCGTCTCAGTCTGGCGTGGCTCGTCTCAGTCCGGCGTGGCTTGTCTCAGTCTGGCGTGGCTCGTCTCAGTCTGGCGTGGCTCGTCTCAGTCTGGCGTGGCTCGTCTCAGTCTGGCGTGGCTCGTCTCAGTCCGGCGTGGCTTGTCTCAGTCTGGCGTGGCTCGTCTCAGTCTGGCGTGGCTCGTCTCAGTCTGGCGTGGCTCGTCTCAGTCTGGCGTGGCTCGTCTCAGTCTGGCGTGGCTCGTCTCAGTCCGGCGTGGCTTGTCTCAGTCTGGTGTGGCTCGTCTCAGCCCGGCGTGGCTCGTCTCAGTCTGGCGTGGCTCGTCTCAGTCCGGCGTGGCTTGTCTCAGTCTGGCGTGGCTCGTCTCAGTCTGGCGTGGCTCGTCTCAGTCCGGCGTGGCTTGTCTCAGTCCGGCGTGGCTTGTCTCAGTCTGGCGTGGCTCGTCTCAGTCTGGCGTGGCTCGTCTCAGTCCGGCGTGGCTTGTCTCAGTCTGGTGTGGCTCGTCTCAGCCCGGCGTGGCTCGTCCGGAGCAGAAGGTCCTATGGCTCCTGTCAGCGGAGGTCCTTCTCACCTTTAATTCTTCCATCGCTGCCAAAGACCTCAGCGTCACCAGAGACTCTGCAGCGTCTGCGGTGAAACTTGTGGAACTGAAGGAGGAGGAACACAAACATGTTGGGTTTTTATATTTGGATTTGTACATTATATATGTAAATACAAATACACACAACAGTATTTGCCAAAGTTTCACCATGTGTTGTTTTCTTTACAATCTATATTTACACATGTATTTCTATTTTTCAGCTCAAAAATGAAGTGGCAAAGACGTATAAACCAGTCTCGGATCGTCACAGTCCATAGAATAAATAACTAATATAAAGATGAGACTTGTATGCTGATAACGGACCCTTGACTTGTTGCCTGCGGTCCTCAGATTGAGAAACTCTCTGGATCAGTTCTGTTTGTGCAGCGTCTGTGTCCGTCTGTTCTGAGCTCCGGCCGCTCACGGACCCCAGCATCATTTGTTTTTGTTATCGCAGTAAAAACACGGCAGGATTCTCTTTCCCGGAGTCCAGCCGGAGTCGGAGCTGACGCAGGATTTCCAGGACCGTGGGCTCCGGGCGCCGTGCGGAAAGTCGTTAACAAAATGTGCTTTTCAGGGAGGCCTGGTTTTGTGCTCAGCAGCTACGGCCATGAATTAAATATGAAACTGTAGTGATTTAGTTTTGGTCGGGGCTAATTTCTGATCTGCAAATGACGGAATAAACTGTAAGTATTAGTCTGTGTTCGGATTAAAAATGAGGGAGATTTGAGATTGGATTTGTCATTTGCAGTAAAAACACAATGGAATAACTGTGCGAGACTTTTCAGTGTGATTCAGTTTCCCGATAAAAGGCCACTCTTAGAAGTTCTGGCAGTTCTGGAATCATAAAGATGTGGCTCCTGTAGAAAAGAAAAGAAAGTTGTATTTATTTATTTGGATTCCCATTAGCTTCCACAAGTAGGCGCTGGTCATCCTCAGGTCCATGTTCAGATACAAAAAGAAAGATCAGAACTTTTTGAAATACATTTTTACTTTTGTGGACATTGGAGAGTTTGAACCAGAGGGAAGAGTTAATGTTGTAAAAACATTTGGTGTCATCTCAGTGAGTGATAAATGACAATGTGTTCTTGTATAAACTGTCATGGATGGACCACGCTAATTCCCTCGCTCTGGGAAGCCCAAGAGAGAAGTGCTCATGGATGAGGTTTTGTTCCTAACTGCTTCTGACATTCACCATTTTGGGCTCAGCAAAAGAATCTGTGCTTTAGTACTTTGTGATCCTGGTGTTTTGTGAATCCAGACCTGAGCCGTAGGGTTGACCAATCAGAATCATTCATGGGGGAAGCTCCAGCGTAGCAACAGTGTTGCTAAGGTCACTTTTCTAACGTTTTCAGTCTAAAGCAGAGGTTCTTAACCTGTTTGGATCGAACCCCAGTGAGTCTGTGCTGCAGAGGTACAGACACATGATCTGGTTACAGACAGTCCCGACGCTTCTGAGATTGTGCGTCTCTTCCTGAGATTGTGCGTCTCTTCCTGAAGCAGACACACTGTGTTGGAGCGTGTATTTTTTTATTTCTTGTGTGTTTTTAAAGTTTTAGTGGGGATTGTGGTGTTTTATCTGATGATTTGTGCCTTGTGTGAGGTGGACGGTGAAGCACTTTGTGTTGCTCTGTGTATGAAAGCGACTCTACAAATAAAGATTTATTGAAAAAACACCATTTAAAAAAATAATCTTTTTCTTTAACTGTAGGGGTTGGATGAATGCTCAGATGAAACTGGTTCAGTTCCTCCAACGAGGTTCAAAGTAGATTTAAAGATGTGTTCCATTATTGTGGTCAGGTGTCCGTCTTCACCTCTGGCTTCATAATGTTTTTACAGTGTAACGAGTCTGTTTACGACGCTGCTTTAGTTTATTATCCACAGTCTCTTATTCTTCACATTTTCCTTCAAACCTTCGTCTCTATCCCAGTCGGTGAACTCGATCTTTCTCCGACGTCACTGATGTTTATTAATAACCTTTGACGGAGGAAGTGTTTTGACGTCTGCCTCCCACAGAATACAGAGCTTTAATATTTGACACGGAGCCTGTGGTGATTGTAAAGCCTCTCACTGTCATCGCTCCGTGACGTCGCCGAGCAGCTGGGTGCTAACCACTCACACCGGACCAGGACCAGCGTCTGGGCTTTCATGGTGTTCTGTGTCCTCGCTGGTATTTCTCACTGATAGAACTCTCGCTTCTCAGCAAGAAGGTCCTGGGTTCAAATCAGGGCCTTTCTGAGTGGAGTTTGCATGTTGGCATAGGTTTCCTCCAGGTGCTCCGGTATCCCTAGCCTGGTGTTACCACACCATTGTACTCATTTCATTTGTACTAAGGCCTGGATCTGCTCCATTGACTCTGTTAATGTGTGGATGAATGAGTGTGTGTGTGTGTGTGTGTGTCTGTGTGTGGATGAATGAGTGTGTGTGTGTGTGGATGAATGAGTGTGTGTGTGTGTGTGTGTGTGTGTGTGTGTCTGTGTGTGGATGAAAGAGTGTGTGTCTGTGTGTGGATGAATGAGTGTGTGTGTGTGTGTGTGTGTGTCTGTGTGTGGATGAATGAGTGTGTGTCTGTGTGTGGATGAATGAGTGTGTGTGTGGATGAATGAGTGTGTGTGTGTGTGTGTGTGTGTGTGGATGAATCAGTGTGTGTCTGTGTGTGTGGATGAATCAGTGTGTGTCTGTGTGTGTGGATGAATGAGTGTGTGTGTGTCTGTGTGTGTGGATAAATGTGTGTGCGTCTGTGTGTGTGGAGATGAATGAGTGTGTGTCTGTGTGTGTGTGTCTGTGTGGAGATGAATGAGTGTGTGTGTGTAAGTAGCTGTTTAATCTCACAATAATGTACTTTGAGGCCTGTAGGACACATGCACTTTTAGGATTTATAATTGGTCTTAAATAATTAAATTCTCAAAGTCTCTGAAGGTTTTATTCTGAGGAAGAAGAAGAAGAAGAAGTTTGTTGTTGCTGCTTTGCCTTAAACTCTTTATCTCCTTTTTATGGAGAAAGAATAATATGTTTTTAGATGAAAACGCAACCCTAACCGAACCAGGCCGTGACAAACCCAACCAGGCCGTAACAAACCCAACCAGGCCGAGAAAAACCCAACCAGGCCGAGACAAACCCAACCAGGCCGTAACAAACCCAACCAGGCCGTGACAAACCCAACCAGGCCGTAACAAACCCAACCAGGCCGAGAAATACCCCAACCAGGCCGAGACAAACCCAACCAGGCCGTAACAAACCCAACCAGGCCGTGACAAACCCAACCAGGCCGTGACAAACCCAACCAGGCCGAGACAAACCGAATCAGGCCGAGACAAACCCAACCAGGCCGTGAAAAATCCAACCAGGCCGAGACAAAGTGAACCAGGCTGTGACAAACCCAACCAGGCCGAGACAAACCCAACCAGGCCGAGACAAACCCAACCAGGCCGAGACAAACCCAACCAGGCCGTAACAAACCCAACCAGGCCGTGACAAACCCAACCAGGCCATGACAAACCCAACCAGGCCGAGACAAACCGAATCAGGCCGAGACAAACCCAACCAGGCCGTGAAAAATCCAACCAGGCCGAGACAAAGTGAACCAGGCTGTGACAAACCCAACCAGGCCGAGACAAACCCAACCAGGCCGAGACAAACCCAACCAGGCAGAGACAAACCCAACCAGGCCGAAACAAACCCAACCAGGCCGTAACAAACCCAACCAGGCCGTGACAAACCCAACCAGGCCGTGACAAACCCAACCAGGCCGAGATAAACCGAACCAGGCTGAGACAGACCCAACCAGGCAGTGACAAACCCGACCAGGCCGTGACAAACCCAACCAGAATCAGAATCAGAATCATTTTTATTGCCACGTAAGTAACAGGAAGTCACAGACTTGGAAATTGCTTTGGCTCAGTGCAACAGTCAGAAAGAAATAATAAAAAATAAAGAATAAAAAACACTTCTAAAGAATAAATTTAAATTTAAAATAGAGTTACAGTTACGATTTACAATATCCAAGTGCACATGGTGCACACAATGTAAGGTGACAGCAGTACAGTGAAGTAAAGTGACGTATGATGGGCAGTAAAGTGACTTTATAAAGGGCGGGGGGACAGGTTAAGAAGTGTTCAAGAGTCCAACAGCAGAGGGGAAGAAACTGTTCTTGTGGCGGGAGGTTCTAGACCTGATGGACCGCAGTCTCCTGCCTGAGGAGAGTGGTTGGAATAGTCCATGTGCAGGGTGAGAGGGGAGTGGTTGGAATAGTCCATGTGCAGGTGAGAGGGGAGTGGTTGGAATAGTCCATGTGCAGGTGAGAGGGGAGTGGTTGGAATAGTCCATGTGCAGGAGAGAGGGGAGTGGTTGGAATAGTCCATGTGCAGGTGAGAGGGGAGTGGTTGGAATAGTCCATGTGCAGGAGAGAGGGGAGTGGTTGGAATAGTCCATGTGCAGGTGAGAGGGGTCGGCTGTGATACGACCAGGCCGTGACAAACCCAACCGGGTCGTGACTGTTTTCATTTCTCAGCTGTTTGTGCTAAAGGTGTCTGTAAGTTTTATCCTGAACATATTGGTTCATTTATAAATACCACATGCGCCGCTTCAGTTCTAACTCCTGTCCATCATATCTACAGATAAAAGACCTGCCTAACAACTGTGCTTATGCAGGCCCTGCGGTCACCTGAGGTTCTGAGGCTGTGATCTTATAAAATCACCATAAACCCTGATTTTAGAGTCTCATTTTAGAGTCTCATTTTAGAGTTTCATTTTAGAGTTTCATTCTCTCCTGTGTTTGTGCGATCGACATGTGCAGAATAATGGCGTTGGAGGAAACCCTCAGACCGCGGAGACTCAGGAGGACCTCATTACACTTTCTCTGCACAATTATCTGGTCGACGGAAATCTCCAAATGTCAAAGATTTAAAGTTTGGGAAAAGTCTCAACTCCCGACTTTCCTTTTGATTGTAGAATATTTACTTTTCAGAGCATGTGTCTTAGTGTTGTTTATAATGTGTTGTTTCTGATATAATCCTGTGCCGTCAGGTGGACAAAGGTCGGCTCTTTTACAGTCTTCTGGGTCAAGGGCCAGTTTATTTATAGAGCACATTTAAAAAACACATGTCAGTCACAAAGTACTTTCCAGACACACAACACACAACACACTAATACAATACAGCGCAAAAATAAAACACTGGTCACGATCATAAAAGTTTCATGTTTGCTTCAGTGGGACCGAACATTTAAGGAAGTCCTGAAACATCGGCTGAGATGAAACCCTAGTGCTCACATTAGAGCCGCCGCTCCTCGGACTTTCTCTTTTAAATTCTTCATGTTGTGTTTGTCGAACTCTGTGTTTGTGTGTTTATAACTGTGTGTTTGTGTGTTTATAACTGTGTGTTTGTGTGTTTATAACTGTGTGTTTGTGTGTTTATAACTGTGTGTTTGTGTCTTACTTCCTTAAGACAACAGATGCTATTTAGCTGTTGTGCTAATTCCAGCACATGTATGTTGACGCTTTAGTCTAGACCTAGGACTGGTCTCCTCTGGTCTTGAGTCTAGACTTGGGACTGGTCTCCTCTGGTCTTTAGTCTAGACCTGGGACTGGTCTACTCTGGTCTTTAGTCTAGACTTGGGACTGGTCTCCTCTGGTCTTTAGTCTAGACCTGGGACTGGTCTACTCTGGTCTTCAGTCTAGACTCGGGACTGAGGCCAATGTAGAGACGACAGGACAGGAGTGATGTGCTCGTCTGGTTCCAGTCAGTACCAGCTGTAGTTCAGTACCAGCTGTAGTTAGTACCATCTGCAGTCTGTGGATTGAGGACTGGTCAAGGCCATAGTACAGAGAGCTACGATAGTCCGTGTGAGGGCGTGGACAAACCTTCTCATGACCATGTGTCAGCAGAGAGTTCTGACAAAGGTTAAGCTCTGTCATAATAATCAATGTTTGAAGGAATACTTTCATTTTCAACTTTACAAAATGCACCAAAAGCTCTTATCTCCGGTGCATCTACAGTAGATCCCGGCGCCTGGAGGTTACAGCGCCTCTTATCTCCGTAGATCCCGGCGCCTGGAGGTTACGGCGCCTCTTGTCTCCGTAGATCCCGGCGCCTGGAGGTTACGGCGCCTCTTGTCTCTGGTGCATTCACAGTAGATCCTGGCGCCTGGAGGTTATGGCGATAGATTCATAATTTGTGAGTTTTTCAATCTTTAATCGAAAACAGTCTTAGTTTTCCCTTTCTCTCAAGACGATGTAGAAATTCATCACACACCGCCGCAAACCTAAAGTTCCATTATTTAAGGGATACTTTAGCAGCAGATGACAGCTCTAACGGATAAAAGCACCAATGTGACCCATATACGGATCATAAAACAACTTTGACAATGTACTTATGGTTTTCACTGATACCAGTTCTGTATTTGACACACATGGTTTCAATCTGGAAAGACTGCATTAGAATTGTATTTGACATGTTTTCAAGAATATATTGTGGCTGCGCAATGAGACAAACCTGGCTGACGCGTGAAAAGGTTTGATTAAGATTAAGATTAAGATGGATATATTTATTGTATTTACACATTGTTCATTGAGCTTTGGTGATTAGACCCCAGCGATAATATGGCCTGATGTGTTCAGGAGGGATTTAGTAGAGATATAAAGCTGGCAAAACCCTCGGGTCTATAGCCCATAACATGAGGATTTTCCACTGAAGAGGCAGAGACGGGGAGGAGACGGGTTTCTGCACAACAGCAGCTGATGAGGTCGCAATGTGTCGTAGAGGGAGTGGAAGTGTGGCCTGGCATCATGTCTCCCTATCTCCCAGTCTGGTTTTCCACTTTAGCTGCATTGGAAGGCCAAATAGTCAGGAATAATGGAAAGGTTTGTACATTTTTAACCAATACAATGACTGGAGGAGCCATTTTTACAACTACAACCAAACCACAGCGGGTCAGACACTAACTCCTGGTAGCAAGCAGCGTCCTGTTAAGGCTTAAGAACAGGACAGAATAACAGTGAACGTTTGGACACCGGAGAAATCTATTTTAAATCACTTCCTGTCTGCTTCCAAACACTGAGATAGAGCCTGTTGCAGGGAGTAGAAGTGTGGCCTGACATCGTGTCTCCCAATCTTTTCCACTTTACCTGCATTTTAATGATGTTTAAAGCATAGAAAGTCAAACTCAAGAGATTTTTGTTTTGTCTCATATTGACTCCCATCAGAAACTTATGGTGTGTACTCTTCCATCGTCTCATAGAAGCCGTCGCTGGATTTAAAATCTGTGCCAAGTTTGGGCCAAGTCATGCAGAACTGTGGGCTCTTTAACCCTGCTCATCTTTCAGCAGATTAATCTTGCATTTAAACCGCATTCACATCATACCACAACCCTCCTCCTCCCCGTCAACACCTCAAGAGCGAGACATCGAGGCCTCCCAGGGGCCTCTGCAGGGGCCTCTGCAGGGAGAACAAACATATCCACTTCTACTAGTGCTTTCATGTCCACACACTCACACACACACACACACACACACACACTATGAAACTAGTCCCCAATCAATCAGTCAGTCAAAATGTTTACTTTAGAACATTACATTTTACAGAACAGAAAATAAAGTAGAGACATGCTTTGAAACCAGATCCCACCCCAGGGGTGTCCAAACTTTTTACTAAGAGCCACTTTAGTGTCATCAGACGAGTCCAGGGCCCGACATCACGGACTAAAAAACTGTCTTGACTGGTTTAAAATGATCTATAACAGAGCTGAAGTTGGCTGAATGACACATGTTTACCATCTCACCAGCTTCAGTAGTATCATTAGTGGAAGTTTGTGACACAATCAAAAACCAGGTCGGTAAAGTTTGTACTGGGCTTTAGAACAAGGTCTATAATGGCTGAGCTGAAGTTGGATGGATGACACAGTGAGCTTGTGTTTATGAGCTCAAAGTCTACTCCAGAGACTGCTCCACCTGCGCTGCTGTGACCTGAGGCTGATTATTACTGTTGTTAGCTTTTTAGAATGATATATTTAATGTGTGTTGTTGCTGCTACTGGACACCCACCCACTCATCCATCCACCCACTCATCCATCCACCCACCCATCCATCCACCCATCCATCCACCCATCCATCCATCCACCCACCTATCCACCCATCCATCCATCCACCCACCCACCCACCTATCCACCCATCCATCCATCCACCCACCCACCCATCCATCCATCCATCCATCCACCCATCCACCCACCCACCCACCCATCCATCCATCCATCCATCCACCCATCCATCCATCCATCCACCCATCCATCCATCCACCCACCTATCCACCCATCCATCCATCCACCCACCCATCCACCCACCCATCCATCCATCCATCCATCCACCCACCCACCCATCCATCCATCCATCCATCCACCCATCCATCCATCCATCCACCCACCCATCCATCCATCCACCCATCCATCCATCCACCCATCCACCCACCACCCACCACCCATCCATCCATCCATCCATCCACCCATCCATCCATCCATCCATCCACCCACCCATCCACCCATCCACCCATCCATCCACCCACCCATCCATCCACCCACCCATCCACCCATCCACCCCACCCACCCATCCACCCCACCCACCCATCCATCCATCCATCCATCCATCCATCCATCCATCCATCCATCCACCCATCCACCCATCCACCCACCCACCCATCCATCCACCCATCCATCCATCCATCCATCCATCCATCCATCCATCCACCCACCCATCCACCCATCCACCCACCCACCCATCCATCCATCCATCCATCCACCCATCCATCCATCCATCCTAGACCTAGGACTGGTCTCCTCTGGTCTTGAGTCTAGACTTGGGACTGGTCTCCTCTGGTCTTTAGTCTAGACCTGGGACTGGTCTACTCTGGTCTTCAGTCTAGACTTGGGACTGGTCTCCTCTGGTCTTTAGTCTAGACCTGGGACTGGTCTACTCTGGTCTTCAGTCTAGACTCGGGACTGAGGCCAATGTAGAGACGACAGGACAGGAGTGATGTGCTCGTCTGGTTCCAGTCAGTACCAGCTGTAGTTCAGTACCAGCTGTAGTTAGTACCATCTGCAGTCTGTGGATTGAGGACTGGTCAAGGCCATAGTACAGAGAGCTACGATAGTCCGTGTGAGGGCGTGGACAAACCTTCTCATGACCATGTGTCAGCAGAGAGTTCTGACAAAGGTTAAGCTCTGTCATAATAATCAATGTTTGAAGGAATACTTTCATTTTCAACTTTACAAAATGCACCAAAAGCTCTTATCTCCGGTGCATCTACAGTAGATCCCGGCGCCTGGAGGTTACAGCGCCTCTTATCTCCGTAGATCCCGGCGCCTGGAGGTTACGGCGCCTCTTGTCTCCGTAGATCCCGGCGCCTGGAGGTTACGGCGCCTCTTGTCTCTGGTGCATTCACAGTAGATCCTGGCGCCTGGAGGTTATGGCGATAGATTCATAATTTGTGAGTTTTTCAATCTTTAATCGAAAACAGTCTTAGTTTTCCCTTTCTCTCAAGACGATGTAGAAATTCATCACACACCGCCGCAAACCTAAAGTTCCATTATTTAAGGGATACTTTAGCAGCAGATGACAGCTCTAACGGATAAAAGCACCAATGTGACCCATATACGGATCATAAAACAACTTTGACAATGTACTTATGGTTTTCACTGATACCAGTTCTGTATTTGACACACATGGTTTCAATCTGGAAAGACTGCATTAGAATTGTATTTGACATGTTTTCAAGAATATATTGTGGCTGCGCAATGAGACAAACCTGGCTGACGCGTGAAAAGGTTTGATTAAGATTAAGATTAAGATGGATATATTTATTGTATTTACACATTGTTCATTGAGCTTTGGTGATTAGACCCCAGCGATAATATGGCCTGATGTGTTCAGGAGGGATTTAGTAGAGATATAAAGCTGGCAAAACCCTCGGGTCTATAGCCCATAACATGAGGATTTTCCACTGAAGAGGCAGAGACGGGGAGGAGACGGGTTTCTGCACAACAGCAGCTGATGAGGTCGCAATGTGTCGTAGAGGGAGTGGAAGTGTGGCCTGGCATCATGTCTCCCTATCTCCCAGTCTGGTTTTCCACTTTAGCTGCATTGGAAGGCCAAATAGTCAGGAATAATGGAAAGGTTTGTACATTTTTAACCAATACAATGACTGGAGGAGCCATTTTTACAACTACAACCAAACCACAGCGGGTCAGACACTAACTCCTGGTAGCAAGCAGCGTCCTGTTAAGGCTTAAGAACAGGACAGAATAACAGTGAACGTTTGGACACCGGAGAAATCTATTTTAAATCACTTCCTGTCTGCTTCCAAACACTGAGATAGAGCCTGTTGCAGGGAGTAGAAGTGTGGCCTGACATCGTGTCTCCCAATCTTTTCCACTTTACCTGCATTTTAATGATGTTTAAAGCATAGAAAGTCAAACTCAAGAGATTTTTGTTTTGTCTCATATTGACTCCCATCAGAAACTTATGGTGTGTACTCTTCCATCGTCTCATAGAAGCCGTCGCTGGATTTAAAATCTGTGCCAAGTTTGGGCCAAGTCATGCAGAACTGTGGGCTCTTTAACCCTGCTCATCTTTCAGCAGATTAATCTTGCATTTAAACCGCATTCACATCATACCACAACCCTCCTCCTCCCCGTCATCACCTCAAGAGCGAGACATCGAGGCCTCCCAGGGGCCTCTGCAGGGGCCTCTGCAGGGAGAACAAACATATCCACTTCTACTAGTGCTTTCATGTCCACACACTCACACACACACACACACACACACTATGAAACTAGTCCCCAATCAATCAGTCAGTCAAAATGTTTACTTTAGAACATTACATTTTACAGAACAGAAAATAAAGTAGAGACATGCTTTGAAACCAGGTCCCACCCCAGGGGTGTCCAAACTTTTTACTAAGAGCCACTTTAGTGTCATCAGACGAGTCCAGGGCCCGACATCACGGACTAAAAAACTGTCTTGACTGGTTTAAAATGATCTATAACAGAGCTGAAGTTGGCTGAATGACACATGTTTACCATCTCACCAGCTTCAGTAGTATCATTAGTGGAAGTTTGTGACACAATCAAAAACCAGGTCGGTAAAGTTTGTACTGGGCTTTAGAACAAGGTCTATAATGGCTGAGCTGAAGTTGGATGGATGACACAGTGAGCTTGTGTTTATGAGCTCAAAGTCTACTCCAGAGACTGCTCCACCTGCGCTGCTGTGACCTGAGGCTGATTATTACTGTTGTTAGCTTTTTAGAATGATATATTTAATGTGTGTTGTTGCTGCTACTGGACACCCACCCACTCATCCATCCACCCACTCATCCATCCACCCACCCATCCATCCACCCATCCATCCACCCATCCATCCATCCACCCACCTATCCACCCATCCATCCATCCACCCACCCATCCACCCACCCATCCATCCATCCACCCATCCACCCACCCACCCACCCATCCATCCATCCATCCATCCACCCATCCATCCATCCATCCACCCACCCATCCATCCATCCATCCACCCAACCATCCATCCATCCACCCATTCATCCATCCATCCACCCACCCATCCACCCATCCATCCACCCAACCACCCATCCATCCACCCATCCACCCATCCATCCACCCACCCATCCATCCACCCACCCATCCACCCATCCACCCACCCACCCATCCATCCATCCATCCATCCATCCACCCACCCATCCACCCATCCACCCACCCACCCATCCATCCATCCATCCATCCACCCATCCATCCATCCATCCACCCACCCATCCATCCATTCACCCATCCACCCACCCACCCATCCATCCATCCATCCATCCACCCATCCATCCATCCATCCACCCACCCATCCACCCATCCACCCATCCATCCACCCACCCATCCATCCACTCACTCATCCATCCACCCACCCACCTACTGTACCTATCTATCTACTTCGAGTTGCGAGGCAGAGGGCAACATACAATGACACTGAGGACCGCAGTTGGCCCCCAGGCCTTGGTTTAGACCTGCCTTATCCAGACCAAAGGGAGAGGGATTTTGTTTCCTACAATCTTCTGGATATTTAACACACTGCTGTGTTGTTCTGCTGCAGCAGTGAGAGGTGAAGGAGGTGAAAGTGTTATCATTGTTGGACTCACAGAACGTGTCCTATTTCCACAATATTTTATACAATTGCGGTTATTTTCATACAAAACTGTGACTTGAAAATGAAATCCCGGCGTGGAGCGTGTAGTCTGAGTGTCGGGCGTTTTGGAGCCGGGGGTTTGCAACTGTCAGCGAATCAAAACCCACTAATGCACATTTGGTTCTGGCACTTTTGTTCCCACTGACGTCTTTTATTGGAGAGATTCTGTGGATGAGTAATTACCGATTGCGAGGGTTGTTCCGTGATCTCCGTCTGCTTTTGAGGTCGTATCAAAACACTTTTCACGGATTTCAAAGTTCAAAGAGAAGAGAGCGTTTCATTCAGCGCCGCGTTGTCTAACTTTCAAGTTCAGGTTGACGTCTGTGGAGAGGTGTTTTATACAGCTGCTTAAACAGGCGCAGGCTTCTCTGGGGATTTGTTTTGCCCACTTCTCTGCAGATTACAGTCTGTAGTTGGAAATGGGCAGTGTCAAATATGGTTTTCAACACAGACCATTCAGCTGCTCATGGTTACACTGCAAAAAGTGATGAAAAACAAAACAAAAACTAAATGTGTCTTATTTTGAGCATGTTTTGACTGTGCCTTAAAATAAGATTTGCCAAAAGGGACAAAGCAAAAGGATCTTGTTTTGAAAAAGATGCAAGAAATGTCTCCCCTGGAATGAGAAAATAAAGACAGAATTCTATAAAGAAATCTAAATGGTTTGTCTCTTTGGCAAATCGTGTTTTAGATCAGTCAGAATGTGCTCAAATCAAGACAAAACCACTCGATTCAAGCATTTATTACGTCATGTGTAATCATTTTTTGCAGTGTTTGACCACCTCCTGTGATCTCACTGTGACGGCAAGTTGCATTCTGGGTCCTGGAAATTCAGAAAGGTTCTAGAAACAGAAGAATTTATGTTAAAAGAGTGCAATTGGTTTGAACTTGGACTCGCAGAACTCTGAACCGACTCAAACTCACAGCCGTCGTTTTGACTGCTCCCGTTCAAATCAATGTAATTCTCCCAAAAAACCTCGACCTTCCTGATGGCTGAGTGGTTAGCACTCTGGTGTCTCAGCTAGCAGGTCCTGGGTTTGATTCCATCTCCTGTCTGACTGTCTCAGTTCACATGTTCTCCCTGTTTTCCCCCACCACTAGTATCTACCCTATGCTCTATCTACCCTACTCTACTCTACTCTACTCTGCTCTGCTCTGCTCTGCTCTACCCTACCCTACCCTACCCTACTCTACTCTACCCTACCCTACCCTACCCTACCCTACCCTACCCTACCCTACTCTACTCTACTCTACCCTACCCTACCCTATCCTACCCTACTCTACTCTGCCCTGCCCTACGCTACCCTACTCTACTCTACCCTACCCTACCCTACCCAACCCTCTCTACTTTATTTTTATTTACTGACATTAGTTGATGATCGTGTCTCAACATTTCAAATAAAATGCAGCTGTGAATCAGAAGGACGTATCATAACACATTTTAAAGTCCAGAATACAGTCAATCCAGCTCCAATCCAGTTTTTAAATCCAGGTTGTCAGCCCCAGGTCAAGTCTGATGAACTGAAGTGGCCCTCTTACTAAAAAGTTTGGACACCCCTGATGTAATCCAATGTAAATCAATATCCACTTCATATAGTGATACAGCAGTTCAGGTCCATCACACATGATCGATGAGACTCAGTCCTTCATGAAAGAAACTTCCAACACTTCCATAAACGACAGGATTAGCATAATTTGACGCCACAAATCCACGTCTTAATCTTTTCACAACTGGACTAAATGAAGCCTGTCAATACAGCAGCGAGAACACGTCTTTCAGTCGATCCGCAGCTCGACAAAGCGACAGATGAAGCCATTAACTTTGTGCAAACTCAAGCTATTTCTTTCAGCGACTGCTCCGGGTTAAGGCAGGTTCGCTGTCACTTCCTTATTACGGGAAACGGTCTCCGGGGAGAGGGAGATGTTGGAGGGAAATAATGGTTTTCTGATGCTTGGGGGGAGCGCGATGTAAAGCTCGTCTGGAAGAGGAACAGGGAGCGACGGGAGCAGAGAGTTTGGAAGAGGTTCAAATACTCCATGGTTGGGTGTTATTCTGGGGCCGGGTTCACTTTGGCACACAGGTCCGACACGGCGGCTCAGGATGTGTTTCACAGCAGAAGGTCCTGGGTTTGATTCCACCTCCAGGCCTTTCTGTGTGGAGGTTTCTGTTCTCTCTTAGGTTTCCTCTGGGTGCTCCGGTTTGCCCTACCACTGAAAATATGCACAAATATGTCCGAATGTAATGAGTGAGGGATTGATTGGACGGTGCTCCAGAGAATGGAACCATTTCTGAACTCTCAACAACTGCAACTGCACATCGGTTTGACCTTGGTCCATAAAGAAATGCACTCTTTATAAAACATCGTGACTTACTCAGATATATCCAGGTGTCCAGCCGCAGAAACACATCCATCCTCATAAACCCTTCATTGTAAATGTTTGTAACGACAGTAAAGTGCAGCAGGATGTAGGTCACAGCAGCAGAGGTGGAACTGCCGCTGGAGCTGAGCTTTGGTTCAGAGTGAAATGCTTTACTGGCATTAAAGATCCTCTCTGCTCTGGTCTGAGGACCCAGGACTGAGGCTGTAGACCCAGGACTGAGGCTGTAGACCCAGGACTGAGGCTGTAGACCCAGGACTGAGGCTGTAGACCCAGGACTGAGGCTTTAGATCCAGGACTGAGGCTGTAGACCCAGGACTGAGGCTGTAGATCCAGGACTAAGGCTGTAGAGCCCTGTAGAGACCCCTCCCTCCGCCCTCTCTCTGGAGCCCTGTAGAGACCCCTCCCTCCGCCCTCTCTCTGGAGCCCTGTAGAGACCCCTCCCTCCGCCCCCTCTCTGGGGCCCTGTAGAGACCCCTCCGCCCTCTCTCTGGGGCCCTGTAGAGACCCCTCCCTCCACCCTCTCTCTGGCGCTCTGTAGAGACCCCTCCCTCCGCCCTCTCTCTGGAGTGCTGTAGAGACCCCTCCCTCCGCCCTCTCTCTGGAGCCCTGTAGAGACCCCTCCCTCCGCCCTCTCTCTGGGGCCCTGTAGAGACCCCTCCCTCCGCCCTCTCTCTGGGGCCCTGTAGAGACCCCTCCGCCCTCTCTCTGGGGCCCTGTAGAGACCCCTCCGCCCTCTCTCTGGGGCCCTGTAGAGACCCCTCCCTCCGCCCTCTCTCTGGGGCCCTGTAGAGACCCCTCCCTCCGCCCTCTCTCTGGGGCTCTGTAGAGACCCCTCCGCCCTCTCTCTGGGGCCCTGTAGAGACCCCTCCCTCCGCCCTCTCTCTGGGGCCCTGTAGAGACCCCTCCCTGTGCCCTCAGACTGATTGTTGACACAGAAGAGAGTTTTCAGTGCAGTGGTTTCAGTCGTTCGAACGCCCAGAGAGTAAATGGGATTAGAGCTTTAGCAGCGTCCAATCACTCAGAGGATCCACGTGGGTTTGGAGCCAACACTTCTGCAGCGGCGGCAGCTTCAGACTGATGCGCATCTGTGTCGCTGGAAGAGGCCCAGGAGTTACAGGAATAATCACAGAAGTGCATTTTAAAAAGATGATTATTGGAACTGCACCTGGGTTTATGCAGAGAGACTGTTCAGAGGTTTTAAAGCTGGGGACCCTGACTTACAGCAGAGACAGGAAAAACATTGAAAAGCAATGACACGGATTTTAGTTTTACTCAGTTCACAGACTGACTTTTCTGTTTCAGATTCAAACAGGATGGTGCTGGTCACATGGTCATAAAGTCACATGGTCATAAAGTCACATGGTCATAAAGTCACATGGTCATAAAGTCACATGGTTTTCAAATTGGAGAGAATATTGAAGATACCAAACAGTGATCTTTAATGGTCTCAACAAAGGTTTTAAAAAGTCTTACAGAAAAGGAGAAATAGACAGAAATAACAGATTTAAGAGGTATTTATGGTTTTCTTTTGTAAACGTGTGTCTTTTCGCTGCTGAAACCAAACCCTTGGGGAAATACAGAGGCCTTTATCTTTGATCCTTAAA